CTGGTATCAAATTTTACTAATGATCACATTTTTCGCCTTATATAACGTTCTCAGTTTTCTCGATCCTAATACTTACAATTTTTATAGCCGTTCTTAATCACTGTTTCCACACAATTATTTATTCGTCTTGTGACGGAATATGCACAAAAAATCTTTTATGGCGCCCCTTTAATTCTTTGTAAAAAAGATGATCTATTTAATCATTTGTTTTTTATTAATTTTAAATCTAATTGGTTTTATTAAGAAAATATAGTATCAACAAATTATTAGATTAGATTAAAAATGATAAACATATATAATTAAGTAATTAACAATTTTATGTAATAATTATATTTAATTAATTTTGATAATAATGTTTTAAGCAAACAATTAGTTTTTAAAGATGTTATGATGTTTAATTGATAAAATTTTATCAATTAAATAAATTATTATTTATATATATATGTTTGCATTAAGGCAAGGATGCCATGTCTTTTTATTAATCCTATAAATTTATAAATAAATCGTCAAAACATACTTTTCCCAATATCGTTATGTCGTGTGTCGGTGTGGCAATACAAAACTCTAAATGGGTATTAAATAAAAAGACCGACGAAGGGTTTCTGTGGGTACACAGTCTCTGACTAAAAGTATCAAAATATTGGCATTTCCAGTTCAATAGGTCGTATTACATATTGTTTTTAAACCTGAAACCCGGTAAGGTTGTGAGCTTAGTGTTTTATGAAAATCACTTCTTCGAGTTTTTTCTTCAGAATTTCAGTGGACCAAACCAGGCTATGAACCGTGTGAATTGTCATAAAAGATACCTTTTTGCGATTTGTTGTTATTCATAATAATAAAAAGAATCTCCCCAATGAAGTGCAGAAATAAATTACTTATATAAAGTTGAATTTTTCCAAGAATAATTCATGTAATTTATTACACATTGTTTTCTAAATTTAATTTTAACAGAATTTTAAGAAATTAACAATAAAAAAATGTGCCGCTAACTTCTTTGTCGGTCTACAATGTAAACAAAACGGAAGGACAAACTCCAGATGTTTAGATTTTAATATAAGGAAAAATCTGAAATAATAATAAACTTAGATCCTTTGAAAAAAAATTTCAATATCAAAAGCAAAAATTAAATGAAATAAACACAATTTAATATGAAGAGTATATGAAACACGATGAAGGTATGAAACAAGATTTATCACACGAATCTAATTTCTTCATTTATTAATTCCACTAGTTTATCAATTTAAAATGTTTTTATATTCTCTCATTTCTGGCAATAATTACAATATTTAACTATTAAGCGAAACAGAAATATTGTTAGTATTTTAAAAATTAAAAATAGCTAAAAACTAAAATGTGAACTTTTTTATATTAATTGTCTATTTTTAAAAATTCATTAAATATTGGCTAAAACATATCACATTGTGAGCGTATTGGTAAGAATATAATATAATAAAAATAAATTAGTAAAGAAAAGCTTTTAAAAAATTGTTAATGTAAATTTTTATTGACTTATGATTTTTTTAGTACCTATATTTATTATTTTGTCATCATCATCCAGTTTCTATGTTGGTTTATCTTCTATTCTGTTATTCGATTGTAATATTGGTTAAATAAAAAAACAATTCAATGTTTTACTGTGTACATTGAGTACTTAGTTGATCTTTTTTGGTTAGTACTTCCTTTCGTATAAAAAAATTCCATGAAAATTGTAGGTACAGCGTAATACTTTAATTAAAATTCTTTGTAATGCAATAATTTAGCATAAATTTTGCAACGAATGAAAGATTTTAATTAAAAATCGATTCGAACAGACAAATGATTAATTTTACAAACAAACGAATTTAGTATTGTTATTGTAGCAATTTTTGAAAATTTCCAATTTATTTATTTTGTTTAGAAAAATAAAATACGAACATTTATTTTTTTAAAGCCTTTCTTAAACTACTAAAAAATACAGACAAGAAAATTTATAATAGTTTTTTTCTTTTCAAATCTAATTAATAGATGATTACAAAAAAATGTTAGATTAAAGTCAAAAAAAATATAATATGTTTTTAAACTACATTAATTCAGCTTCAAATACCTAGTAAGATTTTAATTTAACTGTAAGTTTTCAAGATTTTTAACAACTTGATCATTTTGGTCGAATAAAGTAATATCCTCTTTTAGTTCATCATCCATGATTATGTCTTGCATAAACAAGTCATATTCATCATCTTTTTTGTGTTTAGTATGAATTTTTAAATTATTTTTCTTTCTTTGAACCTCTTTTCGAACTATAAAGACCTTAAAATCCACATCATCTTGCTTCCAAGAATGATCAAAGTTATAGCCTAGAACAATATCATTCTCTTTGATGTTTTTTAAGTGTGTTTTACAATGATAATTTATATTGTTGTCACATGAAACATATAAATTTGTCAGTATGTTTTGATCAGAATCGACTTTACAAGTATCAATTATTTCAACTACTTTAAATTTCTTTAGACTTCTGCTACTCATTAAAATTTCAAATTCATCTAAATACCCCCAATAGTTACGGTTATCAATTTCTGTTAATTTGTTTGTAATTGGATCTATGAGTTTTATATTTGAATTTACTTTGGTGACAGTGTTAATTTGATTTATCCCATATTTATTGGCTATTCTTTCACTGACTTTAATAACATCATCCTTACATATTGGTGCTAATTCTATAGAGTAGCTAAATTTATATTTGCTCGTATTGCTTTTTTTATCTTCAGATAAAAGTCTCTCGGATATTTTTACTCTGCAAATAAATCTTGATTTAATAAAACTAACTAATTTAAGTGCCGGGTTTTTACTTTGAAAGTAAAAGTCAATTCCATCACGTCGTTCTTTTATATTTGTAGTCTCCTTATACGCTTCGCTTTTTAGCAAGACCTGCTCTAAATATAAAAGTGTTCTTTTATGTGCAACTCGTTGTCTTACTTGCACTATAGAAGACCAAAATTGTTTTGCTTCAATTTTTTGACATGCTGGACATTGAAAATTCCTTATTTTGTAGTTAATCTGCACTTCTTTTGTTATATTATCTTTTTGCAGTAGCACTTTGATGTGTATTTGTTTAGAATGCTCCTCAGTATACAAAAAATCAGAATCAAGAATTTTAAATTTTAAAAGCGACTTATTTTTTTTCAAAAGTAAAACAAGAAGTTCTTTACTATGCCATTCACAACTATGCCATGCTTTAGGTGGTGTAAAATACCGGTCACAACCCCGGCAATGTTGTACTATATCATTTTTCTTGATTGATGATGTTATATCGATTTCGGTTGAAATACAAATATCGCACATATTCATAAGCCTTGGTTCTATATCAATGCCACATTTGCAGCAAATAATTTTCATTTTCTGGGCTATAAATTTAATTAAATTCACAAAATTATAGAAATAAACGAAAAAACGACTAGCAAAATTGTTGGAACAGCAGCATAATGGCATACTAGACCATTAAAAAAGTTAAAAAATCGTTTTTTAAATTTATCGAAAATTTAACACAATTAAAACAATTGAAATAATATGGTTTTTTCTTTATATTCTCTTCAAAATTATATTTATATGTATTTTTTGAGCTCTGTGGTAAAAATATCTTTGTATAAAGAATTCATATATTTGAATTACAAAAAAAATCAATAATTTTAATACTATTTTGAGTAAATTATGCAATTTTCTACAAGAGAAACACAGTTTAAACTGATTATTTACAAAGATTGTATATTAAATTTGTACAGGTTGTATGATTTATATGAATTATCTTTTACTGCTTGTTTTCAAATCAAGAACCACAAAATAGTTTATAAAGGCGAAATCCAGTGTTGATCTATGAATTATGTCATTTGAAATTTTTTAAATCCTTTGCAAAAAAAATTTAAATCTAAGTTTTATAAATCATCGCTGTTGCAACTATTCTTATATTCATAAAATTTTTTATAAGTGAAAATTTAAACTGTTAATTTTTTTCTAATTTGAAAAAATGTTTAATCTAATAATTTTTATTCCCATATTTATACTTAAAAAATACAGTTTCCTCATCTTTGCTTCTTAGTAATTATTTAGCGCTCGATTTGAACTTTATATTTTAAAAATTTTGATATATTTTTTACCATCGTAGGAACCTATGGATAGAAAAGAAAACTTCTTAAAGAGATCATTTTTAAATACAAAACTATTTATAAATGAAAATTACAAAAAAATGTATTGTAAATGTAAGATATGTGAAAAAATAATGCCTCTAAACACATTAAATTCGCACTTTTGTTTCAATTTATGTTCACAATCATTAGCTAAACGCAAAAAACGCAATGAAGAAAATTTGGATCTTGAAAAGCATTGTGGCGTGGATATAGTGAATGATCAAACGAAAGAAATAGTTGGAAAGTGTAAGAATGGATTCACATGCAAAATTCATACATTAGATGAAAAAAGAAAGGTCTTGGGAAGAATGTATTCAGTAGACATGTTGATAAGAATTATTAATGATGACAAAATACGAAAGAAAAAAAAATCTGTATTCAAAGTTAAGAAAAATGAACCAGCAATAGAGGTTGATGAGAATACAAAAACAATTATTAAAGATTTAAAACCAGTTGTCACATACAGATGGTATTTTCCTCGTTATGAGAATGATTGTATGCTTTTTAGAAGTTTTTTTCCGCAGAAAAATCCACGAGAAAACAAAAAATAATAAACGAATGATATTATAAGAATTTTTATAATTAAAATTGTTTTTTTTGATTATTATTTATACTACCAAATATAAATCGCAAAACTCATTTAGATCAAATTTTCAGATAACATATATTTTTATTAAGATGTGAATTTTTTGTAATTTTCATGTAGTTAAAAGCCACAAAAATTTTATTTATCTTACATTTTAAGCAAACGACACAATAATATTGTATTAATAAAATTTTTAGCGTCATTCAAGGCTTGTCTCGAATTAGTTCAAACCCTTTCAATTTAAAGATCTGATTTGACGTCCACGAAGGGTATCGAACCCTCGACCTTCAATTTAGGAGACTGACGCTCTACCACTGAGCTACGTGGACTGTTTTTTTAAAAAAACATATATGTATTTAAAAATACTTAGTCACTTAATATGTTATAAATTAAAATATTTTATTAATAATTTAAGTATTTTTTGGCGAACTTTAAATTATTTTCTAATTATAAATAAAGTAATTGGTAAATTTAAATTTTCTTAAATAAAAAAAATTTAGAAAACAAAAATATAACACGAAATCAAAATTCTCGAATAAAGCAACATATAGCATAAAATTATAAATTTTTTTCAAAATTAAAAGCAGACATATTTTAAATTTTTATGTTTTTTTTAAATTTTGCCTAGATATACAAAATTATATGCCTTTTTCGCAAAAAGGTGCGTAAACAATATTTAAGAAAAAAAATATTTAGATTTGGTACTGTCATTTATTTATTCTAAAATACCAATAATTCGGTATTAGTATAATATAAACTTTGTTTAAAAGGTGTGACTTGCGTTGTGGTAGTAGGAACTCCTTAATGTTATAAATTATATGATATTTATAGGAAATAAAACATTCTAATAAATATTTTTTTGTGATCTATATATTTGCACTCGTAATTTAAGATTAAAAAGAAAATAAAGGTGGATATGTTATCATTTATATATTAATAGTACTGCAATAATACGAAAATAAACTTTCTTAAATCCAAAAAAAATCAAGTTACTAATGGATTTTTTTAAAAATTATGAAAAATAAACACTTTTTTCAGAAAGAAACTCTTAATTTTAATTACCTTTATAATGCAGCTTAAAAATTAAATTTCTCTTTTATGTTGCTGTTTGAAATTTGGCACATATATTTTTGTTCATATAATTTTTTAAAACAATTTTTTATATTTAAGGTGTGAATATTATATTTTTAAATAAAATCTCTTTTTTATTTTTTCCTACAAAAATATTAATAATCGCAGCAAAATTTTATAATAAAATAATGTAAATTATGCCTAAAGATTTTATTTAAAAACGAAAAAAGCGGTTGTAACGTGTTGCTATCCCTTATTTCGCATTTTTTAAACGCTTAAAACACATTGTAAAAAATTTATGCCGATGTTAAGGATAACTCATGGTTTCTTGAGAAACGAAAAAAACGGTATATTTTAAATAAAATTTACTTTAATTTCAGTTCTTGGTTAAAAGTTCTGAATAATCAAGCAAAAGGTTCCATTTAAACTAGATTTAAGTATATATAAATTGAAATATAATGTAAAATATATTATCATTAATATATTTGCTTAAATACATATTTATGTATTATTTATTTCAAAAAAAAAAATAAAAACTGTATCTTAAAATATATTTACACAACTTTAACTTAAAAAGGTTGGTTTTATGATAAAAATGGCAATTTTTTATAATTTTTCTAGAAGAATAAGTTTTTATGACTATCTTTTAAACTTATCAATTAATAAAAAAAATTGAAAAAAAACCACTATTTTCCATCAAAAACAAAGAATATATTGTTGTATACTATGCAATTTTTTACGGGCTGGAAAGGTCTATGTTGCCATAGTTTTATGAATAAAGGTCAATTTTTTGAATAAAGGATTCAACGCTCAGCTAGCAGGATCCCTTATAAATTATATTTAGACTCAGACCCGTAGTGCTGATCTTTTTAAAATCTGTCACAGTGAACAAAGAACTTATGAACAGACGACAACCAATTAGGAGAGCTCATTTTCAGGCCCCATAAATAATTTTTTTCTTATTTGATTATTACTGTCATTCGTTAAAATAACCCTAAGAAGACTTCAATAATTATGATGGTTTGTTTTGATTCTATCAAGATAAAATATAATTTTGTGTTAGTTGATCATAGACTATTCGTTATATGAGCGAAAAAAAAACCTTCATTAGCTTTACTCACACAGCAATTAAAGAATTTAATGTTTTTGTGTCTTTTTAGATTATAAAATTCAACAAATTTCTATAATATTATTTTAAAACAGACACAAAGGATATAACCTCTATGATAATTAAATATTTTTTTGCACATATTATTTATAAATGTTTTTTTGTTTAAGTTTAACTTATCAAACCTATATTTGAGCTGATATGTAAAAAAAATATTATGTAATAAATAGAAAACGTTATCACATAAATTTTCATGGGTTGAAATTTGTTGGAAATATAAATATAAATGAAAATATTGACCTAAGATGTAAAAATAAAAAATAAATTTTTTGCATACTTATTATACCATTCGCTAGATAATATAATTTTTTTACTTGTATTTCTCTAGAAAAGCTATTTAATAAAAATTTTTCTTCTATTCTAATCAAAAAAACCCTAATAAAATACGATTAATTGTGTCTATGTATTTATGGTTATAAAATTACTTATATTATTGAAATAAAAAAATACAAAAACTGTTATATTAACAACTACTGTCTAAATCAATATATTACAAATTGGAAAATAAAGTTTTTGTGAGATTAAAGTAAATTATAATAATAGTAAACTCTTTATATTTTTCATTTATTTGTAGGAACATCTACATAAAAACAGGTATATAATTTTATTTTTTTGTAAATATGCTTTTTTTTTGAATATTTCGATTTTTGACTTAAGCGATAAGACTATATATATTAAGTAATATATATATATATAAATTGTTTATAAATATTTTTTAATTTTCTTTTATGAGTTCTCTACTGAAGTTGGGTGAGTTAAATTATTGTCTTAATCAACACGTTTTTAAACATATTAGCAATTTATTATCCGAAAACTTATTTTTTTAGTTAATTTATGCTTTTTAGAAGAGCTTGGTGTGATTTTTTGTTTTATTTTTAATCAATCTGCTAACAAAAAAATTATATTTTATTGATATAGAAAATTAACAAATAATATTTAATTTTTATATTTTGATACCGCAATGATATATGTTAAAAATCTACAAAAATATTTAATTTGTTTAAAATGTAAATATTTTCGAAAGCAAATAATTGGTTTATTATCTATAATTTATCAAATTCACAAATAAAAAACAGAAAAACAGAAAAACGCAATATAGTGCTTTAAAATCTTTTATTTAAACATTTAGTATATTTTTCCTGGTATTAAGAGTTTATTTTTCAATTTTTCAAATTCTTGTTCGAGAAAAAAAGGTAAACGCTACTAAAGCTGTAAAAAAATTGAGTACATGTTTAAATATATTTAAACTTTTCACTCCTAGAATGTGGTCTAAATCTCACAAATATATCTACTTAGGCTTAGTATCCATATAGTTACGGACTTTTTCATGTTTTTTTTTTGTGATTTAAAGCGATTTTGACACATTCATTAGCAGCTCAACGGTTAGGTTTTTACAGGAGATATATAATAAATTATTATTTATTTCATTTTTTTCTCTACTATTCTGCAAATTTACGATTTTTTTGATTCCACTAATGGTGAAGATGTTACCTAAATGGTAAATTCTAATTTAAATAGTCTAAAAAACATTTTTAAATATAATAAAATATATTGATCGTCGAAAGTACATATTATGTATCTATAGGCTTATGTTTTATATGTTTTCTAACAAAAAGCGGTTGCAAAATGTATTTTGTTTTTAACATGGATATATGAATAATAGTAAAATATAATATTATTATATTTTAAGTGTTTTTTTCAAATTAAAAAAAACTATAACTTTGATACAATATACCAGAAAACATAATGATTTTACATAGATTGCTAATTTTCTTTAACTGATATAAATTTGAAACTTTAATGCAAAATATAGAGCAAAGGACAACATTCTATTTTCGCTTTAATGTATAAAAACAGTATTTTAAGATTAATTTGTTTATAAAGTTTTAAATAAAATATCATATTTAAATTTTTTTTACTATTTTTTTTATTCATTTTTATATGAAATGGTTTCATTGAAAAAATTAATATATTGAAAAATCACTTTCGTTAGACTGATGAAAAAAATATTTTCTAGCAAAAATGAAAATTATAATATTAAAAAAACAATATATTTTTTAATCTACTTGACTGTTTACTACATTTATACATTAAATCTAGAACTTAATTGAATTTTACAAAAAAAGGACAGATAAATATACATCTAAATTAGCTTTAAATTCAATAAAAGTGTAAAAAAATATTTAAAAGAATTGTATTTCGTAATAGTGTCTAAATATTTATATTTATATGAAACATTTGTAATATTAACTAATGTAAGATAAAATAATATATTTTGAAAAGGTTAATCGAATTTCTGCACAATTTTTTTAAAAAATGTTTTTGTTTCTGTTAGAAAGAGTTGAATGCAGTTTTTAGTAAACATTATTTGTTTAACATCAGATTTTCAACAACATTAAACAAAAATACTTTATAAAAAAATTCATACACTTGAATAAACTATTCAAAATATTTATAAAAATATTCTTAAAATAAAAGATATCAGAAAATTTAAACATTTAAGCTAATATTTCACCGTAAGCACAGTTTTAAAAAGTTTTAAGGTCACAAAATTTGTTAAAGTTGATAATTATAAAATAAAAATAACTTAGAGGCATATATTAGAATAGAAGCCAAAACATATATCCAGTAATTGTAAAATTTAAATATTGTATTTATATGAAAACTATATGTGTATATTGGTTAAATATTTACAATTATATTTCGTCTTAAAAACTCGGAAACACACAAACAGATTTAAAATCTACAAAAGTTTTTTTAACTTGTTTTTATTGATATTAAACATCTGACTAAAATTCATAAAAAAAATTTTTTCTATATTTTGTTATATTAAACTGTTTTTCCTTGTTGATCATAAAATTTTGATGGGATGAGTTTTTACTATTTAATGTTAAGAAATTTTTTTAAAGCTTTATAAATAGTTTTTAGTAAAAAAACATCTGTCAATAGAGACAAAAATACAGAAATGATTCTAGGAATATTTCAGAAACAAAAATGAAAATATTGCTACCAAAAACAAGAATACACTTATTCAATGATTTTTAATCTAATAAAAAAATATAAATTGATTTTACATGTGAAGTTATATTT